GTCGTGGTAGAAATAGACCAACTGTAGAAAGAGACTGTCCTTGGCTTTTATTAACATTCATAGCGAAACTGTCTCCTTTTCATTTTGAAAGGAAATTGTTGTCTGTTGGGACAATTTTCATCCGGGGAATAGGTACTATATCACCAATGTTACTACCAGATATTACTCTACCTTCAATGATATAACGTCCCATCCTTGTAATCTGTAATCTTGTACCGTTGCATAGTCCATTCCTTTGATCAACATTACGCAGTAAAATATTCGGAACATTAAGTTTCAGAAGCAACCTTTGATTAGGAAGCCCAGAAACTTTAACACTGTTAAGGAATTCAGGAGTGTAAATACCCTGGTCAGCGTCAAATCCATGTTCTGAAGCTTCCTTACTATCTGAACTGAAATATTCATGTTCTTCACCGGGCAATAGTCCGATCATATAGTCATTAACTTTGTCAACAACCTCATGGGTTGGACATGATATTGCTCTTTCTCAAAACCATGCAGTCTCATTTAAATTGTTGATCAAATCTGGATATACAGTACTGACGATTGCTTCTATAGGATCTCCAGGAGTCTGTATGATGACTTCATCTGGGAAAACAATTTCAGCTTCTCCATCATTTGGTTCATTGATTTTGCCTTCCCCAATTTTTAACAACCAATCTCCAAATTCACGTATCTCCTCAGTGTCAGTGACATTATTTCCTCTTCCTAATCTCATATTAACAGTCAATCTCAGAACCTTACAATGTCTCCATAGATGAGATGAGTTTATCGCAGAGTTGACAATATCTGCTCTGCTACCTTTAGGAACAACTAGTAATATTTTTCTGAAATCATCTCCAAGGACAACAACCTTCCCTCCAAATGGAAGATATGGAGCGTTTGGATTAGACCATCTTAATACATCCTTTAGTGATCTATCAAGAGCTTCAAAACAATGCTTATGTACCATTGGGGCTTCATCCTATATGATAAGGTGTGCTCTTGTTACCAAAGCACATAGATCACTTCCTGCTTTTATAGTACATGTTGAATCATTTGTCACATTGATGGGAATTTGAAACCTTGAATGAGCTGTTTTTCCACCTACCAACAGTAAAGAAGCAATACCACTCGATGCCACATTGAGTACAATGTTTCCTTCTTTGCGTACTAGAGTTGATATTGTTCGCCACACATACGTCTTTCCTGTTCCACCATACCCATATACAAAAAACAAACCTCCATTTCCTTTTTGAACCTCATCCAATATCTCTTTGTAGATTTTCAGTTGTTTGGCAGTAAGGTTAGAATAAAGAACATCATGTTCTTTTTTCAGTGATGATCTGTCATAATCTAATTCATCGTGGATCATTGGATTTGTACCATCATCAATGAACACGTCTCCAGGATATGGCATACCAGGAAAATCTTTTAGACTTTTACCATGAGATCGTAAAATAATTTCAATGTCCTTCAATGCATGCATCTTCATTTCGTCTTCAGTAACATTGTAATCTGTATATTAACATGAAAGTAAGAAAGTAGTTAACATTAGATGCATAAATTTTAAAAATATATGTCAAATATAACTTATTATAATATAAACAAATTACCTTCATTCCTATATAACCATTTCAATCTTTTAGGTATGTCTTCTGTGTAACAGTCCCAAGTTTCATTCCATACATGATCAGGTTGCGACACAATGGCACCTTCTAATAATTGTGCATAAAGGTTTCTGCAGTAATTTGCTGAACCCCATGTAGAGCCCTCCTTTATGCAGTCTATGTACTCCTTGTCATCATCAAGTAACCCTCTTGCAAAGCAAGCTTCTTTGAATGTTAAATATTCTGTTTCATTAACTGTCATGATATCTTCGTAACATGTAGGACCTTTGACTATATTAAGTAGAACCCTAAGGTAGTAAGGTTCACCAGCAGCTATAGGGACTCCATGAATTCTACCAATACTTGAGCCTCTTTGTCTTGGGGTCCATTTTTTTTCTTTCTTTTTCCACACAAAATATTATGGAAAATTGATGTATGTGAGACTTTTACCTTCAGGGTAAATGGAATTAGCTTCCATCCAAGCAGTAAACTGTGAATGCCTGTTGGATGCCCTGATGACAATAGTTTCAACAGTTTGATCCTCATCATAGACAACATTCTGTTGACCAGGCATATGAAAACTTAGACGTTCAACATGATGTGACCTGTAGTGTATAGGGAATGAAAACATACGCCATGCAACTTCACAACCTGACAGATATCTTCCTTCGTACCAATCTTTAACCTCATCTTTTGGACCTTTATCCAATTCTTCCCTAATTATCTCACCATTGACAGTGTATTTGAAACAAACTCTGTCAGAACCTTTATTCAAATACTTGAAAAGATATTTTATAGCACCTGCTTGATTGCACCATTCGACGTTTATATGTGCATGATACCTAAGAGTCAACACTGGATTGTAACCAACAACCCATCTGTTGTCTATAGTTGCACCGTCTTTTTCAAATGTCCTGCCATCTTCTCTTCTCCTGTAATCTGGGAAACCATCTTCACCAATACTCTTAGTTTCTTTGAACTTTTTAGGGAACCTTTTTGGACATTGCTGTTTAACCATGCAAGGACTATAGGAGAAATCATCACCATATGGACCATGAATCATCATTTCTGTTACAATGTTGTATAAAACAGGATAGGCATTTTTATCAGGGAGCTCTGCACATATGAAATTGCCGATATCTTCAGGTTTTGATAGCTTATCATCTCGATGTAACCAAATAACTATATGTGCATGTGGGAGCCGTCTTTTTTGATACTCTATAGTGTATACAACTGTACAATATGAGAAAATACATTCTTCATAAGTTAGTTAAAGTTATAAATGTAAAAGAAATTATATAGTAAAAAATACTGAAGTGCAGAAAAAAGGTACCTGCTTCCTGTCTGCCAAATATATTTTTGTCTTTAATAAATTTTATCATGCAGTTAAGCTTCATCATGAACACCCTCGTAACGATATCTGGTCTATTTTCGGGCCTAAGCCCTTTGCTGTTGCAAAACCTGGTTATCTCTGGCCATTTGTTGTTACACGTGAAGGTTAAGAAAACATCGGGATACCCATAAGTTTTAACAATTGTCATTGCATCAATGTAATTTTCCCTTTTTCATCTATCACCACCTGTGAATGAAGAAGGCATTATAACTCTCCCAACATCTGAAGCATCTTGATTTCCCTTTGAAAGTGTCTTTCTCATGTTTTCATACGTTTCACAGCGCAAATTTCTTTGATTTTTTTTTATCCAATATATTTTTCCTTATTCAACTGCACTGTATCCATCCACTAAAAATTGTTGGAACAGTCTCCGAGCATATAACAACATTGAATAATCTTGGTTTCTATCTTGTATACGGAATGCAAACCATTCTCGGAGACTCATCCATTTTCGTGGTCCTTTATACTCTTCTTCAACACCATCAGTATTATCAATTTCATCATCATCTTCACCTTCTGAATCTTCTGGATCTCCAAGTTTGATGTTTGTTCTGAAACCATCTTGACCTTATGGAAAAATCAATGGATATTGAAGTGATATATATGAAGGATGTTGCTCATTGATACGCTGCAATTCTCCAGACTTGTACTGTACAATGATATCTCGTGTTTCAGATTCGTTTCCTTCATCGCCAGGTAGTATAGCTGCAACTTCATCGATGGTTGGTAGATTATGTGTTCTACCATCCGTATCTCTAGTTGAAATTAATTTGAGTCTGATTTCGATTGAAGAATCTGCCTGAACAATGTCATGTACTTTCCTGTAGTTTTTAACCAATACATTGTGTTCATCCATTGCAATCTGTATGTCATTAATTATCTCTGCATCAAGAAGTTTAGCTTGTTTTTTACTCTGATCTGAACTGCAATTACATTTGATCATTAGTGTGTAAATATTATGTCTATAATAATACTGTGAAACATAAACTAAGGATTTGAACAGTTATAAAAACTATTAAACATACCTGAAAGCTCTGATTCTGTTACTGATTTCATTTTGAGTATCATAAATGTATAACTGAGAAAATTTTGGCCTCAAATCATCTTCTGGCAGTAGACTGCCCATTAAATGGCTATTATGACCTTGCATTTTAAATACATAGGGTGCACGACCATCATTTATTGAGTTTACAATGTTACCACCCATAGATGTCAAGGCAAACATATTATTATATGCTCGGATGTTCTCCAAAAAATATTTACTCTTTGCATTATTTGACATAAACAACTCCTTAAGCTGAGCAGGGGGTTCCTGCAATAGGGGTAGATGTACTTTGCCTTGCATGCAACAAAATGAGAATTTAGGCTGTAACGGTTTTTGTTGTTTGTTGACCCTTTCTTCGTACCATATATTAGCGCCGCAGAATTCACATACATATATTGGATCTCCCAAATCATGATATTCTACAGAGTTTAACAAATATGTTAATAATATATGTGATATTTTCCTGTTAAACCATATAAAGTAATGTACTTAACTGAGGTTTACAATTAGTTAAAGATAAGGTACCTGTATTTATGTATGATAAGTTCTTCTGATTTATTTTACATTTTCTAGGACGCAATGTATTCTTCCTCCTTCTGGAAACGCTTTTTTGTGAAGCTTGTTGATTTTCATTCAAGATGACGTCAGCTGTAGTGGTGACTCCTGCATACTCAGTATTTCCGAAACAACAAATTTAAAGGTATGTCACCATTATAAACTATATAATTACACAACACATAAAAAAATTCTCTTGTAGACCTACCAGATGAATTTGTTTCATTTGTACAATTTGTTGTTGGCAATTTATTCATCTGAAAACTGCGCTGAGTACTCTGTCTGTAATTTGAACGGACTTGTGAAGTATCATTGACTGATATATTGTTTGTTATCTGAGATGAATCACATATAATAACACCACCCCTAATAATAACAGATTGCTTTTCTTTTATGGGTTTGCCTCTCTTCTTGTCCATTATTTCCTTCCTGTTGGATCTGGAGTTGTTAACAGTTCCTAACCAATCATGAAGACAGAGATGTATTGTATTCAGATAATTTAGGAAAAATAAAAAAATATATGTATGAAATTATATGAAACTGACACAGATATAATTATATGCACATTTATATAAGAAAACTTACCATCTGATACGGAACAATTTGATGGTGTTATCGAATTCTGAACAACAGATGTGTGGAATTTCAACTTCTTTTGCGTCCTGATCTATCATAATTTATTTTTTCTTATCATCCTTGAATGTTTAGCACTGATACGGTCCACTTTGGGTAGATTTACCGAATGCTTTCGAAGTTGTACCGTATCTGAATGCATACCTCCATCTAACTGACCTTTCAAAATCTGATTCCTAGTAAATCTCGCATCCTTACCAGTGACAGCATCAGTGATTTGAACTGTAGAAATCACCACTGTTTGCTTATTTCTTCTGCGTGACTGAAGCGACAACCTTTTTGCTTTTAATAAATCTTTCCTGAACAATCTTGCTTCTTTTGCAGAAGAATTTACCATTATGAACTTTTCTGAAAGCAGATGTAAAAGTAATTCACAAAACTGTTTGATTCAAAACATAATAGTATAATAATGATTGTTAATGTAGTTGTGAATTAGTATCTTAAGTTTTGATAAAATTTGATCTATATATGGCTAAAATTTTTGTGTCTATCAAATATATATGATTAATTATAATAATGTCATCCTAAAAAAGTAGGATCTGATATACTTGTTCATTTATGCCATATCAAGTTGTTTTTATTTTATATCCACAATAATTTCTGACTGTACATCTGTATTATTTTTTAAAAATACCAGAATAATTTTTTTTATATTGATTTTCTTATTTTGAGGATTTTTTAACTCAATTTGATTACATGTTATTTACTCACAGTCTTATTTTCTTTAACTGTCATTGTATATAATTGACTAAAATACGTTCTTAGTGTATAATCCAATTGAAAATGCTATGGATAATTTGTACACATTGTTAGTGTATATATAATAAAATAGGCACGTTTAAAAAAATATGTTATAAAAAAACTTAAAAATTGCATTATTTTCATAAGAATTGAATAAAAAAAATACAATATAGTGACTTTTACAGGACTTCTATAATCAGATACTCTTTATTACATGCCTTGCGAGCATCTATACGGAATCCTAAAGTTATACCTGAAGGTATTTTCTTCAAATCCACCATGTACTTTATATCACCTTCAACAACAAATCGATGTGGATGATACATGTTAATTACTGGAACTCCATCATAGTATAAAATAGCATTTGTGTAGTCATCTAACTTCAATCGGCGTACTATATGCCAGGGTATCTCCTGCAATATGATTAAAAATTGTTTATAATTGAATAATTTAATCGAATCCCTATTGGATGTAAACTACTATGAAACACATTTTATTACCAATCTGCCATGTTGGATTACAGTGTCAGTCATGACTGCAGAAAATGTGTTAGGATCACCATTGCTGCATAGATAGTCCACTGTGTCAACTTCATTTGAATATAAATTAATATTAGTATTAGAATATGTATTATGATAATAATGTTAGTTGAATTCAATGAATTAATTATAAGAAAAACAGTAGGTACAAACCTTCAGATGTATCTGAATCAACAATATCTAGGTTGCAGCAGTAATCTTCATTGTTGAAAAGCCTTAAATGGAAATACAAATTTCCAGTGTAAATAACAATTACATTCACACATTTTAGTCTGTTATAATAATAATCGTGAAACTCCTCCCACATCCTACCTTCAAAACCTACTGGTTCATTATTTTCCTTCAAGATCATGAACTCCCATTGATTGCGCTTAACATCAACACACCTTGCTGTAGTTTGATTTGAAGGCCAATCAATACCATTAAAGAAACATTTTTTAATAGCTTGAAAACCATGAAATCCCTATGATTAGTCCAGTTATATGTATTATGAAATAGTTCTTTAGTGTAAAGTACTAAGATAAGTAACAAAAAGCAAAGGAATTATAAAAGCTAATAACACTAATAACTTACAGCTTGTTTGGATGTACCATGATCTAATGTTAACAAATAGCAGTTACCAGGTATTGACATCTGGGTGAATCCTTTGACATCCATCATAATTAAAATGAAATAACTGTAACACATTCAGTGATATGTGATAAACAAAGTTAATTTTGGATCTGGAAGATATTCCAAACTCTTGGAACAAAGCTTCTAGTGTAGATCCATATAACTGACATCTCCTCTTCCTAGTGATATGGATATTTGCATAGAAATAGCGATTTTCCTGGAAATCAATCTTGATCTGTTTACCAACATGTCTCAGGACTGAAGTTAAGTTACTACTAAGTATCTAATAATATACATAAAACTGGTTGTCAGTAAGGATTATAACAGAGTAACATGCAAAAAAGGATTTTTATAATCGATCTGTTTACAATTATAAAATTATAAAGGACTTACCAAACCTTTTCTGCGAATGTTTATTGGAACACTAATCAATTGATCATAAGCCTCTTCCATTGACTACTTCAATGCAGTCTGTTCAATGGTCAGAGTCTATATGCTATATGAATATAAAAAGGGCTTATGGAGTATGGTTTTTTTGTTATGTAAATTTGATCTGTAATGATGATTTGCCCGGAAAAGTGTATATAAATCACCGTACATATTATCTCCTATTTATGACAACTGAAGATAACCCCTAAAAAATTGGGATTGAAAAGAATCAGGAAAGTTATAAAGAATAATAATATGCTCTGTATTTAGCATCGTTTCAAATCCACAAAAAAACAGGATTACAATGAATCTCCACTTTTTTAGGACCTGGAGAAATATTGTGTTTCTATTCATTTAAACTTTCTAAGTTAAACAGAATACAATGACTTTTACTATAACAGTAATTGATGTCTGATAATTAAACGTTAAGATAAAAATTATTTCTGTTCCTACAGTCATAAAAATAAATTTCCAATTCATTGTGATTTCATCTTCATCTTCTACTTCCTTCTATGTGCTTTCATTTATTTAACTTCAGAATTCAATGGTAGCAACCAACAGACACCCCTTCTTCTTCAAACCATTTACTATATTTATAATAACTATACTAATCTTTTATAGTAGTACACTTTTTTGGTTATAACTCTAATGACTGCATATTCACACATGATTCTTTTCACCTTCCTATTTGTAATTCATAAACTACTACTCAAAAGGTAACTTATTGTTTATAAAAGAAACTGCAAAAGTAAATGTACTTCTTCTGAAGATGTCATATTCTAGCAATGACGTATAAAAATTTTTAACACATCAGTAGAAATAAAATGTCATTAAACCGAATAATAGTAGATATTAATCATGAAAAAACTGGAATGGTCAAATGCCAACAGAAATAAAACATCCACAGCACCAAAACAGTATAACGGTACTGAGAAGACTATAAAAATAACAATGTTTCATTCAAAATAACAATTCTGGCTATAGGGAACACCTTAAAAAACTGAAGTGTATGTTTATTGTTAAAGCAGGAAGTAGCAAGTGCTTTCATCGACATCAAAGTTTTCTGACACGTTTGTTGGGATTGGACTTGACACTGTCTTCACCGCAACTTCCTGCACTTTTATTTTTTGGAGGAGGACTGTCAGCCATGTCATCGGCCAAATTCTCTATCTCTGTATCTCCAGTACAGGATACTGCAGTCTGCAAACAATGAAACATGTAAGTGTCATCCAAATATTGCTATTTTAAATAAAGTAAATATATTTGTTTAGTATATTATACCTTGGTGGTACTATCCTGGGTAGGTGTCATATTTTGGTAAAACTCTGCACATATCTCCGGATCAATTTCTTGTTTATAATATAGGAATAAACTTAGATTATCATGTGCATCTTCTTTAAATCAAGTACAAATATAAGCTTTCTGTATATGACAATATAAAAAAGAGAACAAACCTGATCTTCAGAAAGATCATCAATGTATTTTTTGATCATTTCAGCATCAGTAGTAAGCCTAGCAACAGAAATTTCACTACTACTATTCCTGATATTGTATCTAGAGACATCCAACCTGAACAGACATTTCTTGCCAACAATCTCATCTAGTACTTTAGGGTAATCTTTTCCTGCCTGGATACATGATGATGGTCATAAAAAAAACATAAAAAATTTGTAGTAATAAAATGTACACATCAAAATCAATGAATAATACCTGTTCACGGAGTTTTTCTGCAGACTTATTGATAAAATTGTAGACCATCCTGTCCCAAAGGGTCAAAATTCTGCTGCCAGTAGCATTCATTACATACACTTGTAACTTGAACCTATATATAAAATCATGGAGGAAAATATTTTATAACAGAATAACATACTAAAAAGGTCACCATTACAACATATTATTTAATATTGTAATTACATAAAGAGATTGTAAAATATTGAAACATACTTTGGACCAACAGCAGACACAGGGCCATGATTACCACAAAACCATTTGTTCTCAAGACCAAATTTCTTGTTGTCACTGGTATTTCTTCGTTTTGCTGATGGTACAATACGGGTGCCTTTGTCTTTTTCAATTTCCTCCACCTTTTTGTTGCAATCTCTGCAACCAATGTATGACCATTCATACTCTTTTGCTAAGCCTGTGATCTTACCAAAAATCACAACATAACCTGCCTGAAAAAATATAGTTTTCATATGTTTAACCATTTATAGATCATGGAGATAACATAGTTACGTACGCAAAGGATAAAATAATTATCACTATTAATATATTACCTCATCAAGATCATCTATGTCACCCAATGACAAAAGTTTTGCTCCATTTATGAATTCTTCATAAGATGTGTATCCAGAACCGTGTGAAAGCATTGAAATTTTTTGGATACTTGCAGCTTTCATTTCATTGGCACTACTTCTATATATATTGTTTCCAAATAATTACAATATGAATAAAGCGATAATTATGAAACTATATGGTATGTGAGACTTTACATTCAAGGTGAATGGAATTATATAGTGAGATTTCTGTTATGAAAATATACACAGTAATGATGCAATTTTGCAACTGTTTGATACAGAAACAATACTTATGAATAAAACAGTAATTATGCAACTATATGGTGAAAATTATAGCAGTTAGTAACAATAATTATACCTGTCTTTGTACTCTGATATGTCGGGTATTGACATATCATCAAGATATATCTTCCCATTGAAAAGATTAGTAGTAACAGAAGCTTTTGCTGTTACATAGTGAAAAATTATATCTCAGATTATAGCAATTACAAAAACTTGAATTTAATATGAGTATATCCAGTTACATATAAGTCACTAAAGAGTACTCACAGTAGTATTTTTTGCACTTAACATATTGAACAATGAGAACCACAGGAGACGGGGGATTGTTAGACATGTATTTAGTGACTTGATCAGTATGTTCACCCCATAAAGTAACCTTTAGCTTGTCAGCCCTGCAAAACAAAAGACATTTTTTTAGTACAAATGTTTTAATTCTTTCAGTATAATCCAAAATGAATAATTTCTGTTAAGACTGTAAAATTTCAAGTAACATTGACCTTTCATCTTCAAGCTCCACCGAAATCCTCTTCTTTTCATTTTCAACAATTGGATCGCTATATGCCATGATGTGGCCTATCAAATCTGCATAGTCGAAAATATTTTAAACATTTTATAGGGAAATTTTACCACAACTTTAAAATCATCTCACCAAAACAATAATCAAAGTTGGCCACAAAGTTTGTAACTTCAGCCAATGGTGTGAATTCAAACACATGATCTGGGATGTCAAAATCAAATGCAGCTTCAACATTTGTGTTTGACATGAACACAATTTTGTATTCGTGCTTAGCACACCTGAACCCCCCACTAATATTGAGACAACTGTCAAATCTTGATAATCGTCTAACACAACCTTCTTTGAAAGAATTTGCAAAATCTTTCACAATTCTTCTAGAAATGGTTTCTTGAATTTTGCTTCCCTAATATATATATACAAATAGTTAATAACATATAATACAGTTTAACTGGTTTGCCCATAAGAAAACTCTAAAACCAATTATGGTGGAAAAGTGAATACCTGAGCATCGATCAAACACATCTCAACAGATTTGACTTTGTTTTTTTGGATACTTCTGGAACCTCCCAAAGTGTCATTACTTTGACAACTATGGTGAAATGGTTGTTTTTTGTATCAATCAATCCATTGATGTCAACGATGTACCTTTGTGCAGCATGTATGGGAACACCTGTATCACCAACATCATTTGGTGGTGTAGTAATGACATCTTTAGATGGGATGACAATTGGATTATCCACTGCATTTTCATTCACAGTTTCAACAAAATCTTCAGGTTCAACAACTGAAATTGAAGTTTGGTTTGTTTTAGCCATTAGTAAGATAAGGGTAATATGAGAATCTGAAAATCTGAGATTTGTAAATTGCAGGAATGGTCTAGTGCATGATATGTGAGGATGTTGGCTGTATTTATACAGGTAACATATTGTCTCATATTGTATATTTGTGTAAATTGATTTGTGTTGATAATGGTTACAGACTGGCAAATATTTTGTGATTTGTTCTGTGATTGGAAAGTGATTGTTGATATACACAGAAAGCTTGCAATTGTGCACGTTTGTGCAAAAAAAATCTGGTTTTTGCGAATTGGAGGAATGGTATGCTGAAGGATCATATGACGATAATAGATGTATTTATGCAGGTTGGACATTGGCTGACAGTATATTTGTGAAGATTAATTTGTGATGATAATGGTTACTGAAAGGCAAATATTTTGAGATTTGTTGTGTGCTTGGAAAATGCTTGATGATATGCACAAAAAGCTTGCAGATATATACGTGTGTGCAAAATTTCAGTTGATTAGTTTTTTTGATTTCCAGTATAATTTCTGTGATATAAATCCTTTGAGAGTTTTAAATGCATTACAAATTCCATAAGTTACTGTAAAAATTTGATTGATATCGTGATTTTCTACATACAATGTGCATGTCAGCATATTCTGTTCCCTGATTATATTATCCCATTGAATAAGGGATAAGATGTGATAATTTCTTTTTTTAACGCAGGAATTTAACGCTCCTAAACGCGTTGACTATAATTTTGGGATGACTATGCTGGTGGAAATACAGTTTTAAAGAGCACATCTTAGTACCCCAATCCGCCAATTTAGTTTATTTGGGTTGAATATGTATTTTATATTTATGGACTCTTTTTTAATCCTGGAGAGAATTTAAGGCTCCTAAAAGCGTTGACTATACTTCTGGGATGACTATGCTGGTGGAAATATAGTTTTAAGGAGCACATCTTAGTACCCCAATCCGCCAATTTAGTTTATTTAGGTTGAATATGTATTTTATATTTATGGACTCTTTTTTTAGTTCCTTTATTGTGATCGATATGTACTATTTAATTCAGTTAAACAAACCAGTTTTACTGCTGTTTTCTAGGAAAATTTTACCAATACTTATTGCCACACGTGAATAATTAGTTTCTTCCCAAAAATAAAGATTTCAAATTTAAATTTAACTTTTTCATTTGAAAAAGGAATCACAACTGAAATTTTCCCAATATTTATGAATCCACGTGGCGTATTCTCGTTGATTCTGTTTTGTACTGAGAATCGCTGAGAAGCTTTGGAGGGAAAATTTTAATCCTGGAGCTGACACGTGTCCTTCGTGTTTACTGCTTTAAGTAAGTACTATAGATATAAAAGCCGCTTGACCAATTAATTTCTTACAATCTGATTGGTCGGCCGGTTTTCATTGACATCATCATTGCGTCACGACTACACTATATTTTTAATTGAGGGCAAAAATGTCATATATTAATCAGACATTAAATTAAAAAATTAATTTTCTCCCATAACCCCCACCCTTAAAACGACGACGTTTAGAAACTTTTTGAATTAAAACGACGTTGTTTGGTGCCATTTTTCAAATAACAAATCCGTGTTTATGCATTAGGCACGCGGGACAAACCCAGGTTATAAGACGACCCGCGTGCACTTGGGTTTTGGCTAGCCTTAAAATAAAAAAAAATTGGCGGATCTACCCAAAGTTTTACATGCTTCGTCAATTCTACCCTTTTCTTTTTCGGTTAGCCAATATTACCCTAAACTATTCAACCGTTAGCCGATTTTGTCCAATTTGCTATTTTCCATCTAAATTAACGGTATTCTATTTGTTTTAATTGCAAAAACACCCTAATAGTTTTAAAAATTTATAAAAAGAACCCCAAAAAAATTTACAAAAATTACAAAATAGTCTTTTTTCATTTTTTATTTAAATTTTTCTTTTTTTTTAATTTTTTTTTACTATTTTTCATAACCATAAAAATATACTATATGATCTTTTAAATAAATAATTTATTTTTAAATACTATAGTACAAATTTATAGATATACATTTTGTAACTCATGATTGATTTACATAAACATATTATTTTTTTTTAATAATATGGCTAGACAATAATGATATTATTATTTTAATCCGTCTTTTTCAATTTAAAGAATAAGATTTTTTGACTAAAACTAATTTTTTACTGAAAATAAAAATATTTAGCATAGATTAGAAAAATATATATTAGTACATTTTAATTTATTGAAAATTAACTAAACTGACTATAGATTGTATTATCCAATTAAAAAACTTATTAAATTAAAATATAGGGTATTGTCTAGTGTTTAGGGTGTTAAGTTTCATGAGAGTAGATATAAGATTAATTGTCACCAAAGTTTTTCTAACCGGGAGAGTAATTTTACCCACGTTTAAGCGAGGTCCACTAAAGGTAAGAGGGTTGTATTGGATGATCAGGTGATTTAAGATATGAGATGATTAAAACTGTGTTTGAGGTTCGGTTCTCACTGGAGAAATCTAATTTTTTTTTTACTATAAAAAAAGTAGAGTCCAGTACTGGAGTAGATATATTTTTTTTAAAAAAAAGACTTCCTGCTAAAGTTAGATATATTAATTCTCAAAATATTATTACAAAATGTTAAACCCTCGCAGTAATAAATATACATATTTTTTATAAAATATTTTGTACCATTTTTGTAAATGTCACAATACTATATTCTTGTATTGGGCCAACGTAGAAACGAAATATGTGTTTTTTTTTGTAAATTTTTGGGGTCATTTTTTTAAATTTTTAAAACTATTAGGGTGTTTTTATAATTAAAAAATAGAATTTCATTAATTTAGACGGAAAATAGTAAATTGGACAAAATCGGCTAACGATTGGATAGTTTAGGGTAATATTGACTAAACGAAAAAGAATATGGTAGCATTGACGAAGCATGTAAAGTTTTGGATAGATCCACCAATTTTTCCCCTTAAAATAAACCGTGTATATGTACTAGGCACGAGGGTCAAACCCGGGTTATAACATGACCCGCGTGCACTTGGACTTTGGCTTGCCCTTGTTTTTTCCTTTTTCTTTTCCTTTTACTTTCTTAATTAATTTTATTACTGTTGCTTTCTTTTTTCTCTTTTTATTTTTATGTTCCAGGAGTATATTTCGTTCTCTAAATTTACAAATTTATTGTATTAAATTTCTTCAATGATTATGTTCATAAATTTAGAAAACAAATTTACTTTTTATAAAACAATTTTTCCTTTTCATTTAATTTTTAATATTTTTTTTAGCTAATGAGGGGGATATTAATTTTTAGTGTTGTTGTGTTTTTATATTTTTTTTCAAAAAAAATTATTATTTAATCTTTATTTTATTTTTACGTTGCTCTTATTTAATGTAAAAAAGTTATTCTTATATCGTAATTTCTTTAATTAGTTTTTTAATCATTGCTTTTTTTTCCTCTTTTTTTTTGAAGAAAATAACCCAGGAGTATATTTCTTTCTCTGAATTTACTATTTTTATATTATTTATTTTTTCAGCATTATTTTACATAAATTAAATAATTTACAATCTTTACAAAAAAATATACTCCCTCCGTCCTTTAATTATTGTCCATTTTCTCAAAATTATTGTCCGATTTGACTTTTTATGGAGTAAGTTACACATTTACCCTTTAATCTAGTGATTGGAAACCTTTTTATCCACACACAACAACACACATCAGACGTGAAGACAATTCAATAGCAGCAAAATTAGCCTTTACTCCGACTGTTAACACAATTCAATAGCTTCAAAACTAGCCCATACTCCGACGGCTCAAAACGACGGTGATGATGAGGTAGACTGTGCTATAACAGTAAAGAATGTCTGAGCTATAGATGAATTATTCAAGCCGAAATTTTCTCTAGCTATCGGATATTAGAGATTAATTATGCTACCTTGTAAATCACTCTATGTACTCTAGTCTCGGTTATGGGGCTTTGATGTTCTAGTCCTTTAATCTAGTTATGGATTGTTCTAATTCGCAATAATGAATTATTCTTTACTACATAAGCTTTGGTGAGGAACCCACAGTTTCAATCGATAATGGACTTATGGGGGACTTTGGAGATAATTGGAATTGGAGAAGGCATTTCATTGGGAAATTGAAACTGTGGGGAGGAGAATTTCACTGGTTTTGCGTTGCCTGGTGAGGAGTATGTGGCCTCCTTGATCGATAAGGAACGGCCGCATTTGACGGCTGAAGAGGATGAAAAAATGGAGACTTGGCTTTGGGTATTATCCAGCAGGGGTATATCCGAAAGTTTCAGAAAAAATATAGTTAAGTTTGACCAAAAATAAATTCTTTCATCTTGATTAAAGTGGACAATGATTATGAGACGGAGGGAGTATCTTTCTTTCCTTTTCAGTTAATTTTTAATGTTTTTTTTGCTAATGACGTGAAATTAATTTTTAGTGATGTTGTGCTCTTTTCATTTTTCCCAAAACAAAACATATGAAAAACCATCTTGAATAATCATCACTAATATAGCTCAATTTTTCTGGAAAGTGAAAGTACTATATCCAATAATTATTTGACAAAACTCAAAATAAAAATAGAAAAAAAACCAAGTTAACATGATAACAAATTAATCATACAGGATTATTTATAAAGTCCACGCTCAAGCACTAATATCTATAATAAGCTAATATAAACGCCGTTTGGCCAATTAGTTTCTTGCAACGTGATTAGTCAGGGGTAGTCACATGACATCAGCTTTACATCACATTTTTTAATTAAGGGCAATATAGTAATGAAATAATTAAACTTTTTGGCAAAACCCCCCCTTTGCCACTTTTACTCACCGCTTCGATCCTCTTCCTTCCCCCTTCTTTCTACACCACCAGCTCCCCGACCTGCTTCTCCTCCACGACATCCACTGTTGGAAATTTTTAGTTTGTAAAATAAAATAATTAATTTAGAATTTAAGGATAATAATTAAGTTGGCAACCTTTCACTTGCATGGTGGTTGTTTCCTACAAGC